CACCTTCCTTGTGGCAGGTGTTTTCAGATATGTAAGTATATTTTGTAGTGCAGACTGCTGTGGAAAGAGCTGGAAAACTACATCTAGAAACAGACCAAAAGCTTATTTTTGCTCATGCTTATGCACCAAGGAACTAGCATTTTAAAACAGAACTCAAGCACATGTGGGAAGGAAAAAGCCCCACAAGATTCTTAACTCCACCTACGGTATGAGTCACCTCCCTTGTTTTTGGTAACCTAAAGGACTATGTTATTCTGTATTAGTGTCTCTCTAATGCAAATTGTTCTCCTCACACTTGGCCCAGGGCTATCAATGGGAATGAGTATAAGAGGGCATCTTCCCCAGGCCTGGTGATTTAAAAGGGGCTGGGGCTCCAGGCCTTCACTGCCACTATCGCGGCAACCCATCAGTGTCTGGAGCCCCAGGCCCTTTAAGCTGCAGTTCAGGTGGCACTGAGGGCTGGCTGGGAGACATTGGCCTCAGCCCCTCTCTGCCTGCCCAAGTCCCTACTCCTTCCAGGGGGTCTGGAGCTGAGTCCTTCCCACATTGCTCAAGGCTCAGTGAAGTCTTCTTTTGGATGTGTTGCTGCAAGCCTGGCAGCAGTTTCTGCAGGCTGCCTCACAGCATCTGCTGCAGCCCAACTCCCACGCCATCATCCGGACCCACCTGAGGTATGTGGAGGAGCAGCTGCAGCTCCTGGACGCTAGTGTGCCCCTCGCTTCTGGAGTCTGGACACCAGCAGCGACTGGTGGGACCACAACGTCCTGGAGAGGTGGGGAGCTCAACAATGGACCCAGAACTTCAGGATGAAGAAGGACACCTTCATGGAGCTCTGTGAGTGGCTCACCCCTGCTCTGCAGTGACGGGACACACACATGAGGCCCGCCATTCCCCTCCAAAAGCACGTGGCCATCGTCCTCTGGAAGCTCTCCACGCCAGATAGCTACCAATCGGTGGCAAACCAGTTTGGCATGGGGAGATCCACCGTCAGAGCAGTGCTCATGCAGGTATTGCAGTCTCTGGCCACTGTGCCAGGAGGAGGGGTGCAAGGAGGGGATGGGCTGCTCTAGGAAAAAGGGGGGGGAGGAGGTGAAAGTCCCCTCCCTGGGAGGGTTTGTTCTGTCCCGCCCACACTAAGGACTGCGGGTGGTGGCCAGGATTGCAGAGGGGGTTGCTCCTGAAGAGTGAGGGAGCGGGGCAGTGGTGGGGAGGGGGCACTCTCAGTCACCTTGGCAACCCAGTGACACTCGGTTTTGTGTGTCCCTCTGAAAGTGGTCAAGGCCATTAACAGAGTGCTGCTCCACAGAGTCATCCACCTCACTGATGTGGACATGGTGATCAAGGGATTTGTTGGTCTGGGCTTCTCCAACTACGGGGGGCAATCGACGGGACGCACATCCCCATCTGTGTCCCAGACCACCAGGCCTCCCTGTACATAAGCCGGAAGAGATACTTCTCCATCATCCTGCAGGCTGTGTCTGACCACCAGGGCCTCTTTGTGGACATTAACATGGGCTGGTCCAGCAAAGCACATGACACGAAACTCCTCCACGTGCCAAAGGCTGCATGCCGAGATTTTCTTCCCTGACCACCACATCAGGGTCAGGGATGTGGACATGCCTGTCTGCCTGGTGGGGTATGCAGCCTATCCCCTACAACCCTGGCTCATGAAGCCCTACATGGGACACCTCAACCCTTCCC